TCCTAACAACACTCAAGCTTGACATGTATTATTTTCTCCATTTTACAGATGAGGAACAGAGGGATTGATTATTCAAGGTCATGTGGTAGCCTATGAAATCAGAACTCCTGGTTTCTATGCTGAAAAAGGAAGACATCTCCAGCTTTACCTGTCTTTCTCAGCGGTGCAACTGTGCAGCAGACATTTCCACGCAAAAGCAAAACCTTGGTAGCACCCGATCTGTGAATTTGAAAAACATTTAAGAGTGAAATTAATAAGCAACTAAGCACACTTTAATTACTAAGATCTCGAAACAAAAGGTGGGAGCAGAGGGCAGCAGTGCTTCTGACATTATTGTTCTGGAAGTACCTGTTGAGCACTGGGCAATGGAAATTAGGAGATGAGGTCATCAGTGGGGCGGCCAGCCTCCCGGATGCCCCAGTCCTCACCTCCTGGTACCCATGCCCTGTGCAGGTCCCTCGACACTCTACCAGGGTGGCTTTCGTAACCAGCAGAATGTGGAGAGTCCAGGGATAAAAGCCACTGTCGCCTGCCTCACCAGCTCTCTCTGATCACTCACTCTTGAACATCACGAGGACACACAAGCATCCCTACGGAGACGTCTGCACCCACAGTCAGGTGACAGCACCACCTTGGAGGCAAATCCTCCAACCCTAGTCCAGCCTTCAGGTGACGCGGCTCTGGCTGACACCCTGAGACAGCACCACCCAGCAACGCTGCTCCTGAGTTCCCAGCCCGCAGAAACAATGTGAGATAATCAATATTTGCTGTGTTAAGCCCACGCATTTCGTGGTGATCTGTTTTGAAGCCTCAAACATCCAATATACTCATAACTGCCTCAACTCAGACTTTGCCAGTCAGGACCACTTATCTGTAAGTAAGGTCCAATCTAGGACAAAGACAAGAAAAGAAAAAAATATCATGAAGTTAATGAAATTTCAACGTGAACATAAATGGAGTATTTTCACATGACAGAGGGCACCCATTCTTTGGACAGTGATTCAGCTGGCTTAGCGTATGAGACAGCACCATGACACTCCCAAGTAAACTAAGGAGACCAGGGATTTGTTTTCTCTTATCCAGCCTGCATAATTTAATTATGTCTACAAAGCAAAATGCGTTCTTGGTTCTGTACTAAGAATACTCCACCAACAGAACATGTAGTCAATTAACTTCCACACAAACGCGCTGGGATTTTTTTTTTTTTTTTTTTTTTGAGATGGAGTTTCACTCTCGTCACCCTGGCTGCAGTGCAATGGCACAATCTTGGCTCACTGCAACCTCTGCCTCCCGGGTTCAAGCAATTCTCATACCTCAGCCTCCCAAGTTTCCTGGAATTACAGGCATGAGCCACCACACCCAGCTAATTTTGTATATTTAGTAGAGACGGAGTTTCACCATGTTGGTCAGGCTGGTCTCAAACTCCTGACCTCAAGGTGATCCACCCTTGATCAGCCTCCCAAAGTGCTGGGATTACAGGCATGAGTCAGGCACTATGATTTTAAAAGGCCCAACATTCTTACTCCATCACACTGAATATCGAAATAAATTATAAACTGTAAATCAAGAGGCTTCATCTCCAAAAGGGGGTTCCCACTTACCTCAGACCCGATTTTGGCTCCATGCAGCGTGCCATGCTGCCTTCCCTCCATCACACCCAAACTGCTGCCTTCTTCATAGCCTTCCCGATACCCTTCCCCATGAAACCTGCGAAGGAGAAGCATGCTTCATGAAATCAACAGGAGAAAGAATACTTATTCCAGAAAAACTTTTTTCTATCTGTTACCCAGACCCAGTATGACAAGTCAGAGTAAAGTAGGAAAAGCCTAAAATTCAAGTCAGAAGACAGATTCCAGAGCCAGCTCTATCCCTTCCTGAGTCTCCCGCAAGTCACTGTACCTCCTGTAGCTCAGTTTCGTCCTCTACAACAAAGGGCTAAATTAGTGAATCCCAAACCTGATAGAGTACTAGAAACACACAAGGAAAATTCAGAGATATTAACTCAAAAGCCTCACCCCCAGAGACTCAGTAAGTCTGGAGACAGGGTCTCTGTTGCCCTGCCAAGCGTGCAGTGGTAGGATCACAGCTCACTATAGCCTCAAACTCCTGGGCTCAAGCAATCCTCCAGCTCTGAGGTCTCAAAGTCTTGGGATTACAGGTGTGAGCCACCGCACCTGGCCGCGAATCTACTTTTCAGTCTCCTGAGTCTGGTTTACAGCCAGAGTGAGGGAGCCAAAGTTTTGTGAGTGGACACGTATCACTAGCCCAGGTCAACCACTTCCAAAAACCTGCAACATTCACAGGGTTTCACATCACATCAGTGGACAACAGCGAGAAACGCCACCCAATCACCACAAATGGACTACAACCAACCCTGAGGACCAACAGTGGGACGAGCACTATCTTAACCTGCAGTCACCAAAGATGCAAGGGGTGGGCTGCAGCACCCCATGAAGCAGAGTGCACAGCTCCCCACGTATTAGTTGTGTGACCCTGGAAAGTGACGGTGCCTCCTCCTCTGTAAATTCCGAAGAATAATGGGATCCATTTACCAAATAGGGCTGAAACGGATAACTAGGGTGGAATGTTTAGCTCAGTGTCTGACTCAGCGCGAGCTAAATAAACGTCAGCGACTGACTGCTAAATGTTCCGTCGCTTTCTGAACTAACATTTATGGGCGTGTTCTGTGGGCCGGGCACTGGAAGTCAGCCAGGAGGCACCTCACAGCTCCGCCACTGTCGCAGCACCAGGGGCTCCCCAGGGGCTCTGGAGGGAAAGGGGTGGGGTCGGTCACATCTATCAGCACATTCATGAATACTGCCGTATGTCCTACGATCGAAGAACAAGAAAAAGAGGCAGTTTCCAGATGGCAAAGGTCTGTCCTCCCAGAGGACGGGGCGGCCCCGGAGGAGGGCAACCACAGACCGAGCAGATGCTCAGGGCAGCCCCGACAGGGGAGGCGGGTCTGGAAGAGCAGCTGGGCACGTGCCCCGCCGGAGCTGGCGAGGAGAGGAGGAGGGCCGGAGCATCTCGGCCCACACTTGTCCCAGCGTCCACGGCCGCCAGACGCTCCCCCAGTGCGCACGCCCGCGGGACCCCAGGCTCCAGCAGCCGCCCTGGACCACAGCGGGCGGCGAATCCGCTGGGGGAGAACCAGACAGGGCGGGGTGCCGGCCCGATCTCGCCACCCACCTCTCATCTGCCATCACGATGGCGTCGAACATGTCCTGACTCCCAGCCATCGCGGCAACCAGCCCGCCCCTGACCCCCGGGCTTCTGCAGCCCTTCGGTGCCGTAGCAAACCCGCCAAGTTCAGGCACAAACGCTCTACTTGGGAGGAGACGAGGTCCACTTCCGGAAGCAGCGGCGCGGGGCAGGCCGGGTAAGAACGGCACGCGGGAGGGTCCAGAAGTAGCCGGCTCCGGGCGCACAAGTGGCCGCGGCGGTGGGAGGGGCCGGGCTCGGGCGAAGCCCCGCCCTGGGGCCCCTTCGCCCCGCCCCACTCCCGCAAAGGGCCGGTCTGTCCGCACTGGGAGCGTCCATTGGCCGCGCGCGGTGGGGAACCGACCTGTATTTTACCACCACAGATGGAGCCGAATTTCTCAAAGTGGCTCCGGAAAAAAACCAAGGAAGAAATGAGAAGTCATCACCTGGGTGGCTCACTGCTGTAATCCCAGCACTTTGGGAGGCCGAGGAGGGCGGATCACAAGTACAGGAGTTCGAGACCAGCCTGACCAACATGGTGAAACCCCGGTCTCTATTAAAAATACAAAAATTAGCTCGAAGAGGTGGAGGGCGCCTGTAATCCCAGCTACAACGGAGGCTGAGGCAGGAGAATTGCTTCAACCCGGGAAGCCTAGGTTGCAGTGAGTTGAGATCACGCCACCGCATTCCAGCCTGGGTGACAGAGCGAGATTCCATCTCAAAAAAA